CTCGGTGGCACTGTGGTTAGAGTACAGTACTGCAAGCTACTTCTACTGCAATTTGGCAGTTTGAATCCCACCAGGCTCAAGGTTGACTCAGCCTTCCATCCTTCCAAGGTGGGTAAAATGAGGACCCAAATAGTTTGGGGCTATAGACTGACTCTGTAAACCACTTAGAGAGGGCTAGAAAGCACTATAAAGCGGTATATAAGTCTACGTGCTAGTGCTATTGCTGTTACAGGCACAATTTATTTGCAGATGTACACTTTACCTGACAAACGGTGTCTCTCTTGTTTGTCCCCGAACCTCTTCTCGACAAACTCGAATCCACCGACTGGACATCAGAAGCATCAGCATCTGCTGCAGCCAATGGGCTATCAGACTGCTTTCCAAAACTACCCTAAAATAAAGTAGGCACAGGTGTTTTCATTCTCTTTAGACAAGCTCTAAAATTAGAATCAGTGTAAATCCAGTTCATTAAAAGGGGAGTGGGGGGGGGAGAGAAAAAACCCAGCTAACTATTTCCATAATTTCTCTGAGGTCTGACTTAGGTCAATTAAAATGCCGCCCTTGGTGTAATCTCATCTACCCCAGGGAAGAAAACTTGCAGAAGGATGAACCACATTGCTTGGATGAGAAAACTTCATTCTGTTTAAAACAAACGCATCTCATTGCAAAATTCACTCCGACGAATTTGGAGGGGGGAACACAGGGGAAAATATTAACCACGGCGTAATCGCAAGGGGTCGTTTTCCAAAAAGGAAACCGAACCGAAATGCTACGTTTTGTTCTTGACCCAGGCCTCGTCCAAATTAAGGAAACACAAACTGAGTGTAAAAACAAACTTTTGAAATGTGATGCTGGGAATTTCTTGCATTCCCAGCCAAAACTCATTAGACACAATTCTCTGAGATAAGCTCACGCCTTTCAGGATTGTAGAAGACTGCCAAGAAATAGAAGTCCGCTTTAATTAGAATATCAACTGACAGAAGTTCCAGCAAAGACAAACCAGAGTTTGCAGGGCTTCAATGAGGAATCAGAATCTAATGACCTTCTTTGCTTCCTGCAAAAAAGCACATCCCCGAGGGCTGACTTTTATCCCTTATGGGAGAGGCAATCACCTTCCAGCCTTACTCCTGAGTCGCCCTTTCTGCCTCAGCTGCTCTCTCCTTCTAGCAGCCCTGTGCACACGCGGACTGGGAACAGGCTCCCCTGGGTCCTCTGTTCGCTGCTGCCAGACTCTGAAGGCAGCACCCCATTCCCAGATGGCCCCATCTCTGCATCTGACACAGAACCCTCGCACGAGTCCTCGCCAGACTCCCTGACCGGGTCCCTTTTGTCCTCACTGTCCGATATCTCTGCCATCCGCACCGGCTGCCGGTGAACCACAACACATTGTCCACCCTCTTGAAAAGCTATCAAACAAGTGATTTAAGTTCAACGTGTTGACTTCTGTTTGGCCTTCTTTATAGGGAGCTTTTCATGACTGTGTGATGGTGGCTGCACTTGGAAAGTTGATTAGTATCGTCGTTACAAACGTCTACACAGAGAAATGGGGCATTTAATCATAAGATGCCTCTTTCACTGGAAAACAAACGGAGGACACTAAAAGGGAAGCCAAGAGGCCCAGAACCCTGAAGACACAACAGTAGAAAAATCTGGCTCCTAAAATGCAGCTCCCCAAATCCAAACCTTGAGCTCTATTATCCAACCGAAGCTCCTTTCAGGAGAAATTGGAAAATAATATAATTGTGCTCAATTACAACGACCACCTGGCCAGTTTTGCCTTATTGGGATTCATTAGATGTGGGTAGCTCGATGTTAATTCTATGGCAGGGGTGTCAAAACTGGTGTCGTCACGGCGGTGTTACGTGACGTATCGGGACTTTTTGCCCCTTCACTAAACCAGCCATGTGAAGTATCTGGGCCATGGGTTTGACACCCCTGTTCTATGGGGTTTCAATCCTCTGCTGCAGGAGTGTCAAACTCAGTTTCATTGAGGGCTGCGTCAGGATTATATTTGACCTCGGAGAGATGCGGTGGGTGTGGTCAAGGTATGGATGTGGCCAGCTTGAGGTCACCTGTGTCAGGGGCGCCTGTGGTGGACCGAGTGCTCCGTCTTTGAAACTGGGCTCCCGAGCTCTGTATTCGGACGCGACAGCCTCCTGCAGCCCTCTGCCAGTGAAAACAGAGGTCGGGAGGGCAGCCCGTAGCCCACATGAACCCCATTTTTGCTGACAAAGGCCCCCATGTGTGGGATTCATGGGCATAACTTTTGTAATGTGATCAGGAATTTTTTTTTTTTTCATGTGCGATGGCACATGATTATGCTGACTCACGATAGTGGTTCTATCGCTCCCAATCATGGTCGCTCAGCAAATCCTGAATGGTCGTTAAGCGTGATGTCACGTGATCGCCATTTGTGACCTCCTGCTGGCTTCCCCAGTGCTGCAGCGAAGGTCACAAATGGCAATCATGTGACTGGACGATGCTGCGACCATTACTGCAAGCCGGTTGCCAAACGTCTGAATTGTGATGCTGGTTGAAATGCCACTATGGTTGCAACTATGAGGACGCGTCGTAAGCCCCCTTTCATTTAGTGCTGTTGTTACTATGAACAAGGGATCATTTAATGAGGACTGCTTGTATTCTCTCCAGTCTTCGTCTTACCCCATTGGGCATCTTCCAGTATTATTAATTTCCTTATAGTATTTCCCTGGGTTATTCTCAATTCTTTCTTAAATCATTTTTCTAGCCCAAATTGCTTTGCTGCTACCCCTGATCAGGAGTGGCTATGAATCACTCCCGTTTCTTCCTTTTTGGTGGCAGGATACTCTCCCAAAATCCCACCATGTTTAATTTCTCAGGCACCTTGGCTTCAGGTGAGACCCAGAGGAATTTGGGGGAATACTGTTTTATTTTTCCTGCAGTTAATAATGAAGTTTGAATATTAAGAAATAATAATCATTAAGATGTGGGAAAGTTAAAAGATAGAAACATTGCTGCTCGCAGGCCTTCCCCAAACCATCTTCTGTCTTTGCCACCCTGAAAATAAAATACTCTTTTAAGATTTCTGTGATTTGAATCTTTCCTGACTATTTCCTGTCACACAATTATCAAAAATTGATGTGCAGAACAGAATGTTAAACAATGCAGAGAAAAGCAACGTTTCAGCCCCAAACTCCCTCAAGCCAATGCTAACCGTGATGGCTTAACTGTTCTACTGAAGTGTTCTGGGCCAACACTTCCCATTTAGTTTGTTTAAAAGCTATAGTGTTCATGTTTTGCTCACAGCCTTGACTGCAGCAGCGTTTTATGTAATTCCACTTTTTTTCGATATTTTCCTTTTCCAATGCGGAGAAAACAATAACACTCAGAATACAGAATTCAATAGACCTTAAGGAAGGAGCAGAAACGTAACCTATCTGCATTTAAGTCGCAGTTGTTTATACTCGCCTGTTGTCAAAAGTCTGTTTGTTGTTAAAAGGGGGTGTTTTTGTACATTGTTTGCAAACAAAACATATTCAAAGAAGATTAGCAGCCACAAACATCTCGCTCCCAAGGTTTTAATCATAAAACAATCTGCGAAATGGATTTACCACATTATTTGTCAGTTTCAGTTTTATTCAAGGCCGAATAAATACCTGTAAATCATTAAGTCCTCTTGAATCAGAATCGGAGGTATCTCTGTAAGCAGAGTTAGCCAATTCTACATCTGTGGAGGCACGACTTCTTTTCTTTAGAGGTTTACAAGAATCGGAAATCTCACTGGCACCTTAACACAACACACTGGAATTAATCCTAAAAGACCTCTCAAATATGTAAGCTACTGAAAGGCAAATTAAGAACAATGCCAAGAAAACTAGCCAAATTGCACACTTGATTTAAAAGCTTTTCAAATTCACAACTCTTCCACTTTTGGGGGGCGGGGGGGAACAGTAAGCTAATCTATGATTTTAAAAGCAGGGCTTTTCCAATTGCAACTTTTGGATAGGGAATACACAGTATAACTTCTGCTCATTTATACCTTATCTCACAAATTAAAATTCTCCCAAGGCAGCTTGCAATATAAAAACTAAAAGCAATCACACAATTAAGAATGCATTGGGATGAACTGTTTCAAAAACAGAGTGAAAAGTCAAAATTGAAACCATATTGCTTAACGATAAAGTTGTTTTTATAGCATTTTTTTTAAAAAAGGATGAAGAGTCAGGCAGACACTGATCTGTGGTTGGTTTTTGGATATTTTATTTTGTTAACACTTAAAGCACCTTATCCCCGTACGTAAAATACAATCTCAGAAGCAATTAGCACCGAATATACATTATCAAACTAACACGAAATCAAACATCCTTCTATGCCTAGATCTGAATGGTATTCATTACATTACAGGGCCTTGGAGGAAGCAAGCAGAAATGCTTGGTGTCAGTGAGGGTAGAAATTTGGAGGAAGGAAGCAGAAGTGAAACACCCCTCCTTCCCATCCTAGCCTCTGCTTGGACAGGAAGCACGACAAATGTGGGGCTCTTAAAGAACTACTTGAAGCACGCCTAAATCCCAGCCATTCTAACCTGGGGGTGGAATAAAGAGAGTAATCAGCCTAGAGTTGTTACGTTCCCGTAAACCAGGGTGGATAAAAATCAGTGATTTTTAAAAATTAAGAAAATGGATTTTTAAAAAATTTAAATCGGATGGGTTTTTTTTGTCAAATTTATTTTAATAAAATGCTTTGGGAATAACAATCTATCTAAAGATAGTTTTCCATTTAAGATACATTAATAATTAAGTTTATTCAGCATGAAATGGAGCTTGGTCATGTAGCATGAGGGTGTGTATTCTGCAATATTTTACATTTACATTTTGGGTAAACTCATTCAATGCATCCAAGCGGAGATAACACGCACTTCATTGATGCATTCACACAATTTCACAGCAGAGACGACAGTTGCTCTTTAAAAGTTATGATTTAAATCAGGTTGGTTTAAATCAAGCCTTTTTACTAGTGATTTAAATCATGATTTAAATCAAATCCATTCTGCCATAAACAGTCTTAAGTCCAACACCTCTTGAATTCCATTGATGTCAGGTGCAAATAGCCAGAAGCATTCATTGAATTCAAAGCAGGGAACAGTTTATTATTGCTACTTCTACATAAGAATCTAGTCAACTAACAGTAAATTTTGGTGCTAGACAAGGGTCAATGGAATTTATGGGGAAGCTGGATTTGGGTCTCTTGTGACACCGCAATGACTCCAAGCTGATGACACATTTAACCCTGCCTTCCTGTTCTCCTGCTCTTCTCCTAGAGTTGACTCTTACCTAGCCCAATTTAGTGTTGGTCTTTGGTTGGCTAGATTCTTGTGTGTAGGCATGAGCAATAAATTAAATAACTGGAGCTCCATGTGTGGTCCTGACTCTTCCAGCCTGAGATATTTCCACATGATATCATAAATTGGAGAACCATATGCCTAAAGTCTTTCTGAAGAAATGAAATATATACCACAAAACCACTTGTTCCACACCCAAGGAACAAGAACTCACCCCAGTAATTATTCTTACTGGAGATTTAAGAGAGGGTGTTTGTGCTTTCATTTTGCCTGCTTTGTCAAGAGATTCTGCTTCACTGCCTTTTGACACAACCTGGTTACAGAGGGGTTAGCGTGACAATAAACTGCATTTATTTGGCAGCATACGAAGAATGTTAATTTACAAGTCTGTCAAAAAGCTTTAGTGACCGAGAAACAAGACAAACCACAAGAAATAAAAGCCACACCAACCTTTTTGTAAGCCAGTCTTCACTGCTGCCTGTGGGGCTGTTTCTACCTGTTTAGACAGGAAAATGGGTGGTTAGTAAAGACATTTCTTGTTCCCTAGTACAAAGGAGGAAATGTAAATTCAATGCAAGCAGTTAGTATATAAGGAATCACATTTAAGGGTTTTTCCCCGCCTCCACCCATAACCCAAATATATATTTCTCTTTTTGTGGATTTAATTAAGACTGCCTTCCCTAAACAACATAAAATGGGTCTCTCTTTGTTTCAAAATCATTCAATGTGTGCGTGAAGTAACAGGAAGGCTTTTTTAAAAAAAAATTGTCCAAGAACCAATTAAGGAATTAGGGGTAGGGAGAGCTATCAAGCCTTGAGCTAGAGGAAAGGGGGAAATAAAATAAAATAAAAATAAAAATAACATTAGCTATGAAAGGAGAGAAAAGCAGGACGCTCAGGTTCCGAATGACGTTTTAACTTACGGCCCCGTTTTGAAGCCAGAGCTTCTGAGGTTATGGGATTCCCCTTTCTATAGAGTTCTGCAAAGGCAGAAGTGGGAAAGGAAGCCATGCAAACGCACTGCAGGCCTCTATAGAGCTGGAAGCAACATCGAGACAGCGCATGGAGATAGGCAGGTGGTGGCCTTGTGGAATCCCTTCCAGGCTTTTGGGCATTTCTGTGCCTTGGATCCTACATAGAGAGGTTGGTTTTCGGCAGGGGAACACCCAAGTTGTGAATTTGGTAGTGGTGGCAAGTAGCTTCTTGGCTAAAAGGTCTCACACTTTTTTTTTTTTTTGTTTGGTTTTAAGGCTATAAATCATAATTTGAAAATGAAAATAAAATAAAAAAAGTTCTCCGTAAGGTGAATTTACATAGGCAGATTAAGAAACACATCTCAAAGTATTTATGAAGGATTGTTCTATAATGTTTGAAAAATATTTTATTTCGTTGTACAATGGATAAAAACATACAATAGAAGGATTTGTATAGGATACAATTGATAATATACAAATATAAAATCTAGACAATCACTTGTATTTCGCTATCACTCACTTGCAACAGAATTAACATTTGTCTTTCTCAGTTGAAATTAATATTCCAGTTGTCATCTTAAAATTGAAAGGATGCAGAATTAATTTGGAAAGTCACTGATATGAACAAATATGGTTGCTGAATCCTAAAATATCAGTATGCCTTTCTGATCATATTACATATTCAAGCTTATGCAATACAGTGCTTCTCTGATCATTAAGCTTTCCTATATGCTGTACCTGAAAACACCAGTACAATATACTATGTCGATTTAATTAGTTACATAGTATAAGGCAAGCAAAGATTACTTGGGGAATGAGTTTTTTTTTAATATTAAAAAAAAATACCCTGCATTGAAATTTTCTTCCTTTAAAGTCACTATTTTGGAAATCCAACCCAGGAAAAGTATTGCTGGGACAGCAAAACCAAAGTTGAAAGCTGGAATAATGAACTGGCATTTTAAACAGAAGATGTTTAGCTTCGTAGCGAGCAAAACTAATAGGAATAAAAATAAAAATATCATATGTAACATCTATTAGAAGTTGCCGTCTTTGAAATTTTTCAAATCATTTGGGCTGTTAGGGAAAGTGTGTTCTACTTGATAGTCCAAAATAAATTTCCTTTGAATTTAAAACATGGAGCATACCCAAATGGTTGAGAAAATCCAAAATGTAATAACCTTTCTTGAAACATGCAGAGAATCCATAGATAGCCCGAGTGGCACCATGAAGCAACCTGGAGACCCTCTTCACTTGCAATTGGCTGTTTCCCAAAGCAATTTACACCTCTGAGGCCCATCTCCCAAAAGAAATGCCCTGTGTACATGTTGGTTCTTCTTACAAGAAAAAAGGCAACCCAGAATTATCCCAAAGGTGTGCTCTTTTTTTTTTTTTCTTTCAAGAGGCAACTGGACTTTCTGAAGATGTTTCGCTTCTCATCCAAGAAGCTTCTTCAGCTTGGTGAGGAATGGAAGGACTCATATTCCTTGCAGGCAGCTGGTCATTTGCATCCTTTTAGCAGGTCATTAAGGTCACTGGAGGCTTATCTGAGTCCTTAGTGTCACCTGAGTGGTGCAAATGGGGGTGGAGCCTTCCTGGAACTGTTGAAAGGACTGTGTTGTAGACTGGACGGAGGTGATGTCCTGTCCCTCCCACTCTGTTGAGAGAGGGCCGTTCAATTTTGACATTAAAGGCCTCTTTCACCCCTCTTTCAAACCAGGGGTCCTTTGTGTCCAAGCTTCTTGGATGAGAAACGAAATGTCTTTCAAGAAAAAAGAAAAACCAGAAAGTCCAGTTGCCTCTTAAGAAAAAAAAAGGACCTTTGGGACAACCATGAACGGAATGACTGAGAATCTCCATAGAAACCCAGAATTATGTTCCTTCCTGCTTGCTGTCAGCATGAAGGCGTTTGGCCTTCAAGCAAAGACCATGCTTAGAAACCCACCCTCCCTTTCAAGAGGGTCTAATCCAGAGGTCCCCAAACTTGGCAACGTTAAGACTTGTGGACTTCAACTCCCAGAATTCCCCAGCCAGCATGTTTTAAGATAGGCGGACTTCGACTCCCAGAATTCCCCAGCCAGCTTAGAATTTGAAGTCGACACTCTTAAAGCTGGCAAGGCTGAGAAACATTGCCTTAAACCAGAGGCCTCCAAACTTGGCAAAGTTAAGACTTGTCGACTTCAACTCCCAGAATTCCCCAGCCAGCTTAGAATTTGAAGTCGACACTCTTAAAGCTGGCAAGGCTGAGAAACATCGCCTTAAACCAGAGGTCTCCAAACTTGGCAACTTTTAAGACTTGTGGACTTTAAAGCTCTGCTGGCTGGAGAATTCTGGGAGCTGAAGTCCACAAGTCTTAAAAGTTGCCAAGTTTGGGGGACCCCTGGTCTAATCCATCCTACTTTCTTGGAAAGGGGAAAAAAAAAAAAGACAACAGAAACAAAACCACAAGTGTCATCCTCAATATACTCCCGGCGGCTATCCTAAGATGCGAACAAAGTAGAGCACAATCCAGGGACCTGACCGAAACATTAAAAAAAACAAAATAAAAACCACACAGCTCGTAACAAGAAACAAATATCACATCCGTGAGCAGCTCTATTTTCTCGGGTCTCCAAAGTATGAAGGATGCTGTCAGTGGAAAATTAGTTGACCAGCAGAGTTGATTAAAAGGTGGGATCTCAAGAAGGGGAATTCCCGCCCCCCGTCTGCCGAAAATAAAATAAAAACGTTGGGGGGTCGGGGGAAATAGAGAGGGTAGGTGGGGTTTAAATAAAAAGGTATCGATATAAAAAAAAAAAGTGACAACAGGTATTGAATACGATATATATATTTTTTTTAACTCTCTACATGGAGGAAGCCAACCTGCTCCTTTTTGATCTTCTTCTTTGGCACAACCTCAGTGGATTTCTCAGACTCTGAGCGAGTTCGTATTGATCTCCGCTGTTGCTTCTTTTCTACAGAACCTGAGGGGAAGAGAATGGTTTCCATTACAGGAGTCTCTGTCTCTTTCCTCAATGAGGGATGGCGTTCAATAGCAAAGTCCTGATTTCTCTATATTCTTCTTGAGGGCATAGACTTTAATCTGCCAGCTGTCGTTCTGGCTGCAGGCAATACATCTCAGTGCTTCAGGCAGAGTCCTGAGTTCGGGAAAAGACCAGCTTTAATACGAAGATAAAGGGGAGTTCTAGAATGCAAATTATTAGGAGGGGGGGTGAGGGGGCTAACTTTCCAAACCAACTCTATACCGTCAAAGGATGTTCATAGGTTCTTAATTTCATCTGAAAACTAACTGCCTGTCCAGGAGGCATAAGCTTCGGGTTATCTCAACCGTCAACCCACTGTTCTAAATGTTCTTACACAGTTCTTAGCATCTAACTTATCTTAAAAACTTGGCGGGAAATCAAAGGGCGTGCTATATGCCAGTGGTCGCCAACCAGTGGGCTAGGAACCACTGGTGGTCTGTGAGAAAATTTTGGCGGTCTGCAGAGAAATGTCACCCTCCAAAGCAATGAATCCAGGCTGTGCGGGAACACAAGGCTGTGCCGCCCACAGGGCCCGTGGGAACACACGGCTTGCGTCACTTGCATTGCGAACAACACGAGGTTGTGAGGGGAGGGTGGAAAGGGCGGAGGGGGGGAATTTGCCTCACGCGCCTCGTCTAGCCACCAGGTGGCTACTTTTCGCTTCTTCTTCTGCTTTCGTCTACATGCAAGGAAAGCAGCAAAAGTCTTTCTTTCTCTTCCCCAAACTCCAACAGAAATAAGTCTTTGGGACCATGTAGTCTTTGGGACCATCCTGCTCCAAGAGGCTGCACCAGAGCAACAAGTCTCACAAAAGATTCATTTCTGGCAGAGTTTGGGGGAGAGAAAGAAAGACTTCTGCTGCTTTCCTTGCATGAAGCCAAAAGTCTCTCTCTCTCTCTCTCCGAGAACAGAGCTGGAGACGGTATCCTGCAATCCCAAATAATAAATGATTGATCGGTAGGAAAACAGAGTGGGGGATTTTCCTGCAGTCTTTTGGGGGGATTTTCCCAGGGTCTCTGGTCTGCGGGATTTAAAATTATGAGTTTGGTGGTCCCTGAGGTCCAAAAGGTTGGTGACCCCTGCTATATGCTATATTCATTTCCAGCATCAGGAAAATCAAGAGTTCAAACTCCCTAAAATGTACGCCTCTAATGTACCTCAGGCCAAATACCTACTTCACACAACACGGGGTGCAGATTTTCATAGAGAACATGAGGATCCTTTAGGGCAGGGGTTCCCCAACCTCCGGTCTGTGGACTGGCACCGGGCTACGGGATGCTAGAAACTGGACTGTGTGAACAAGCGAAGTCCCATGTGCAGGATACAGGCAGCATGAGAAATCACGCCCCCTCCAGTCCGCGGAAAAACCTCGCTCCATGGCACTGGTCCCTGGTGCTCCAAAGATTGGGCGCTGCTGCTTTAGGGGATTCTTATCGATTGGAGAATTTCCTAACCTGCAAATTCTCCTTAAACCTAGTCCTCAGATAGTGGTCCATCCCATCTATTATGAAGGCAGGGGGACAAAAAAAAGACTGGATCTAGGAAGGAAGCCGGAGGGTGCTACTTAATGCAGCCACAATTCTTTCTTTTAAAAGAATATGCCTCCTACACCACGTTAAATGTGTGGACCACAAGATGGTGACAATTCATGAGAATTATACCTTGCAAATTGATTAATTATTTCATTCCAAACACCACAACAACAGAACGTGGTCAACACTCCTAACCCGCTCCTGGTACACATCAAAGGTTTCTTCCTCCCACCCTCCAAAAAACAGTGTCACAAAAGAGACACCCAGTTAATTGTCATCCCCCCCCGTCTCCTTGCATGAATGACTAGAAGTATCTTCAGAATGCAGCTGAATCCCCTGAAGCACCCCCTGTTCATCTAAGAAAATTCTAGCTTGCCGATGAATAATCTTCAGATGAGTCTTTCTCATCTAAAAATTGAGATAAAGACTAGATTCATTCATTTAAAAGGAAAGAGAGAGGAAAGATGCAACAGGTGACTACAAGGGACTTTGAGGAAACTCTTCCCATGGTAGGCCCACCGTTGCTTCTTCCATTAGTCCATCTGTTATTGGAGGAACAGGCAATGCCCATCTCCTCTGGATGGATGGATATTGTCAGAATTTGACTCGGAGGGGGAGGCCGAACAGTTAACAGAAAGTGGGAGTGTGGCTCTATTGGCTGTGGAAGAAACTGGGGAAGGGCAAAGGCTGGCTGGGCAGAGCAGGGAAGCGGGAGAACAAGGGAGAGGGAATTCGGAGGAAGACCCAGGCCCATCCCCTCTTCATTTTAGGGCACACAGCAGGGAGGAACGGAGAAGGGAGCAACGTGAGTTGCATGGCTTACGGGGGAGGAAAGGGCCCTGATTCCCTTCATTAGGTGCAGCTGGGAACACAGTTTATAAAAGAGGAAGCTGCGCACAGCAAGTTGTTGGGAGCAAATGTGAATTTAACTGATATCGTTGTGGCTTATCTGTGTTCCTGGCATCTTCCCAACTGTGTGTGTTTTGCTGTGCTTTCAAGTCCGAAATTCCTTTTCCTGTCCTGTCAATTACTTCAGCTTGGTTTGTTTGGATTTTTAGTTACAGTTTGTATGTACCCTGTTTTGGGTTGAATTTTCTACAGTTAAAGGCTGTTCCTGGGAGAGTTTTTCTCCAGCTAAAGGTAACCTGGACATTGGGGGCAAAGTTGGAGATAATAAAGGGACTCTTGTTGCATATTGGACTGTGTTGCCTTTGTGCCAGACCCTGGGTCATCACAGATACGCAGCAGCTGTCAGAAACCCTGCTGATACAGGTAGTCCTTGACTTACAGCCACAATTGAGGCCAAAATTTCAGTTGCTATGTGAGACATTTCTTAAGTGAGCTTTGTCCCACTTTTATGACCTTTCTTGCCACAGTTGTTAAGTGAATCGCCACAGTTCTTAAGCTCATTCCCCAGTTGTTAAGCAAATCTGGCTTCCTCCATTGACTTTGCTTGACAGAAGGTCACAAAACGGGGGGAATCGCGTGATCCTCAGGACACAGCAACAGTCATAAATGTGAGCCAGTTGCCAAGTGGCCGAATTTTGATCACGTGGCGCTGGAACAGTCGCAAGTGTGAAAAAAAAAATGTTTTTCTTCCAGCGCCGTTGTAACTTCAAACGGTCGCTGAACAAATGGTTGCGAGTCAAGGACCACCTGTAGTTTTCCCTGCAGGAGACTGTCGGATACAATGAACTGCAATTTTCCTGTGTATTTAAGGACTGACTTACATTCTTAGTATTAAGAATAGCAGGGGCCGATTATCAACCAATAATCAAAATACAAGAGACAATAGCCATCAGGCTGTTTTTAGTAGGGATTTTTCCTAATTGCTGCTTTCCTTTATGTTTCAACAGCTGTAGTTCTAAATGAAGAAGCACCAAAAAAAATAAAATAAAGGAGCCTCTGGATATCTGAAAATTTACCTACCTCAAAAGGGAGGAGGAAATCTATTATTGTTCAAGGTGGGGTTTTTTTTGTGGTCAGGGTGGAAACCATTCATCAAATCGCACTTTGAACAAAAGCTCACAGTGTAATAAAGACGATAGTTTAAGGCAGGGGTCTTCAAACTGGGCAGCTTTAAGACTTGTGGACTTCAACTCCCAGGTGTCGGGGTGTGTGAGGTCCGGCTACAACTGTTCAAAAGTAAGTAGTAGGACAGCTCCACCCCCCTATTCCCACCCTAGCTTAATTTTTACCTGTCCACTCTGGTGGGGTGGGATCTTAATTAGGGCTTATTTTGGGGGGTAGGGCTTATATTGGGAGCACATGTAAAAAATCAAGCTAGAACTTACTTTCAGGGTAGGTCATATTTTGGGGGAAACAGGGTAGTCCAGCTCAACTACCAATAACTGCATGGACCACCGTAGAGAATTGGTTGGCCAAGGCCTGTTTCAGTCTATCCTTTGCCTCTGGGTTCTCTGATGGTCTTCTAGCTCATATCAACCAGCTTAGCAATCACCGAAGGTCAGTTTGGAGCCCTTTGCTTTGGTTTTTCACCTAATATTTTACCCTTGGAAAAGATCTGATTCATTTGGCCTTAAACCAGGAGCCACAAACTTTACCTACTTGCCAACCCAGAAGACGTTTCTGGAGAGGGTGCACTTTGTGACGAGGCTCTCTCGGTTCGCGGGATGGAGACGGAAGTGACTTTGTCATGCCCTTTGATGATTATCTCTGGTTTGTTTCCTATGCCCTATTACAAATGAAAAGAAGGAGCTTTGAGTATTTCTCAATTAGGGTCTCCATAAGAAATACATTTTTCAAATATTTAGCACAGTAACGCATACACACACACACACACATTCAGAAGGGTGTGCATAAAACAAGGACATCCACAAAATGTGAGAACACTCCTGACTAGCTCATAGAGAGGAGATTCTTAAGGTGGAGAACAACCTTGAAAAAGAAATGGTCAAGACCAGGGGTATCAAACTGGATTTCTTCGCGGGCTGGATCAGCATTGTAGTTCTTCTCCACAGGCTGGCGGAGAGGGGAGATGGGATGGATGCCTCCTGCTGGCCAAAGCGGAGTGGAGAGAGGCCGCGTGTGGCCCCCGTACCCCATTTTGGCCATCAGAGTGCTGCAGGATGCCGCCCAGGCTGAAAACTGGGCATGGGGAGGCTGTGTGTGCCTCCCCCGTGCCCTGTTTTTGCTAGCAGAGGCACCGCGGGCTGGTCCTTTGCTACTTCCAGGCTGGCCCTGCGGGCCGGATTTAAGCACCCCGTGGGCCGGATCTGGGTCGTGGGCCTTGTGGTTGACCTGGTCAAGACCTTCTCCTTGCATTTTTGGATTGCAAGCAGTTCTCCCCTCCCTTCCAAACAGTGCTGCTGTTACAATGCTACTACATTATGAGCCATCTCCTTGCCCAGCGTCCTTGTCTGAAATTTCGTGACTGTTCTAGAACTTGGAATACTGAGATTAAAAAAAACAGAAGTAATAGAAACAAGGACATAAAACAAAGATGATGACATGGAGGATGAAAAATAAATAAAAGACTGTTCAATGCAAATCCCAAAGGTGCTTTTTCAAAAGGCACCCGGACTTCTATTTTTCTTTGAAGATGTTTCGCTTCTCATCCAAGAAGCTTGTTTGCTTCTGACTAAATGGTGGAGAATGCTAATGACCAGATGACTGCCAGGAATATAAATCCTTCCCTTCTCCACCGTTCAGTCAGAGCTGAAGAAGATTCTTGGATGAGAAGCAAAATGACTTCAAGGAAAAACGAAGTGCAGTCACCTCTCGAAGAAGCGTGTTTGGGACAATCATGATCTGGATAACTGAGAATCTCCGTAGATGTTAAGTGCAAATGAACCAAAGGATTCCGGCCTGGGCACAGAGTGAACGAACCCATAAACCTGAGACTGGGAAAGAAGGGGGAGCACTCCAACCACCTCAAAAGTATAAGCCATTACGGGAAATCGGGTTTTTTTATTTTTGTTTGCAAAAAAGCCAGCAGTGATAGTAGCTAGATTAGTTCCATGAACGTGCATGTATGCAACAGGGACCACCCGAGAAAACTTATGGTCTCATGAAACAGCAGAACAGGTGAATTTAAGCATAATGGTTGTGATTTAATATTAAAGGAGGGAATCTTAAATTCTTCTGCTTTTCCAAATTACTCTTTTGAAATAGGAATACGTTAGCGGATTTGTCAAAGATGGTAGGTTGACAATTCCGCTCTAATTATCACATTTTTTTTCCAGTGGATAGCTGTCCACACATATTTACTCAAAAGCAGAGAATTATGGTATCTGAAAAATAATTGAAGAGGGTGCAGGGACATCTCTGGATGCGATCTAATAACTGACACAGAACACTGGCCAATTTCACATGACATTATTTCTCCTGGAAGTAAGCACCCTAAATATAGGACGAATGATTGCTATTCTTGACATTTTAAGGTCAAACCAATTCACACCAATATTTTATACTGCTTGCAATCTTAAAGCGCATAAGGAAGCCGTTAACCTCACAGTAAATTATTCTGAACTCAGTCGGACTTACTTCCAAGTAGTTCTTAGGAGGACTGCAATGTAAAATCTTTAATACTGGTTTGCACAAATATTCTTTACTAGCTTGATACCCATGCTTTGCTATGAGACTATGTGGTCAGGCTTAGTTTTTGGGGAGGAAAATAATGGGGGGGGGGATTCTGCCTCTGCCTACCAGCATCCATTGGTATTCATCTGGCTAGCATCCTGTCAGTGTGTGAGAGAGTTGAGGGCTCTTTGGAAACTGAATGAGTATTTGCTGTGTGAGCAAGGAGACAGCAAGGAGCCTCGACGTGGCTTAGCTCAACTGTTCTGTACTAAAGCTGCTTGCTGTTGTGAAACTAAAACTGAAACTGAAACTCCTCTCCTCTGCTTGTGTTTTGCATTTGGAACAGATTTCTTTTCAGGTGGGGAGGGGGAGTAGAACCCCTTACCATCAGAGCGTGTTAATAATAATAATATAGGAAATACGAATGCTCTGATGGTCATTTTGAAAAATCCTTTCTTAGTGAGCACCTAGAAGCCAAGAGGGACATACATGCCCAATTTCAAGTTTGTAGGCTTTACGGTTCTAGAGATTTTGTGAAGATGCGTGAGGGGTCTTTCGCTTTTATATAGATAGAATAAGAGAGTTTTTGTGTTTCTTTACCTTGGCGGAGTAAACAAACTGATCAATGAACTTTCCATTCCCAGCTGCATTCTGAAGAGCAAAAACTTGTTCAATTTTAACAACTGGAGACATGTTACATTTTTGAAGGTCCAGCGTTCCTTTGTGCATGGTTATTGACGCTGGGAGAGATTTTCTGGCCGCAGCAGTTTTCCACTGAATTTTCACAGGAGGAGATTCTTCATCTGCACTGCACTGTCTCCTCTGGCTATACCTCCGGACCTCCGTTTTGGGCGGAGACGGTGCGGGCAAAACATCATTGGTCTGTTCTGGCGGAGAATTTGGCGGTGATTTGATTTTGCGGATCTTTTTAGCCTCAATCTTAGGCATGACAATCCGTTTGGCTTTCGAGGACACCTCTTCTGGCTCTTTGTCTACGTAGATGAAGGTGTACTGCTCTATCCGCTCTTCCAGACTCATTTTTAGCGCTTTCTCGGCGTGGGCAATGCCAATATCCCACTGTGCCCGTTCTCTCTGCGGCCTCGGTTTGCGAATCTTAGGAGAGAGAGAGAAAGAAAAGACGTGCCATTCATTCAGCCCCTACTTACAAACTGTGCCCAAATGAAAACAGGCTTGGCTTCAGTTGCCATGTCAAAGTATTTCCAGAGAGAGACGGCCCTGTCAGATGGTTGCAGCAAAATGATTGAGTTAGTAATGTCAGGTTAAAGCAGATTCTTATTTAAAGCATCCCTCTCTTCTTAATTTCTGACCATGCTACAGATTCTGAAGTTCTCCTGACTATCAACGCAGTCGGACTGACTTCATGGAGGGAAAAAAAGATGCAAACAGTTAACAAAAAAAGGGTCAGCAGAGTTCAAAATGTTTTACAAGCTAACCCTAGCTGGCACAAAGCGCTAAGGCTACCTGAGGTGCTTCCTTATAGTACTGAACAATTCAAATGATCTGGGCAATTGCATAATTCATCTTCGATAGTAACTACAGTAGACTTGAACAACTATTATAGAGACCTATTGTTTAAGAGAAGTATAATCAGCAGTGTTGATGAATGTAAGTAGCCTAAATTTTCAAACAAAATTTATTTTTGGCCTTCAACATTATTCTTCACACTATAGAATAGAATAGAATAGAATAGAATAGAATAGAATAGAATAGAATAGAATAGAATAGAATTCTTTATTGGCCAAGTGTGGTTGGACACACAAGGAACTTGTCTTGGTGCGAATACACTCGGTGGACATAAAAGAAAAGATACATTCATCAAGAATCATAAGATACAACACTTAATGACAGTCATAGGGTACAAGACGTGTTGTATTTTTTAAAAATGTTAAGCCTATCAAAATCTGACTATAATTTTCCCATAGAGGATACGCCATCATTTTTCTCAATAAATGGCTTTCAAATTACAGCAGCAGGATTCTACGTGTTCGACAGAAGCTACGAGCTGTTTACTTCTGCTCCAGATTCAAGCAAGTACTTTTCAATAAGCTCATAATAAAAGCCAAAGGATCTAACCCAGCATTCTATTTCACACATATACATTTTCTAACATTGGGAAAAGTGGACACTGACAGCACAGATCTGCCTAATCTTCACTGATACCCTTTACCACATCTGATGGCTAAAGTCCACATTTGAACTATGAATTAAGTAAAGGCTTGTCTCTGTCCCTGAATCGTCCTGTGTTCAAAGCCCATGGATGACATATTTTTCAGCACCAGCCATGATGTTATACATCTATATCACATCATCCCTTAGCCATCTCTGCTGTAAGAAGAGGCAAACTGCAACAATCATGCATCATATTTCTATTTCTACAACACTGATTTTCTGACTTTTCTGTGGCAGCCAGAATTTTACAAACTATTCTAGAGGGTTTTACTATATTTATGTAGAAGTGTTGCTATGCTGTTAGCCAGAACAACATATTAATAATACATACTAATATGTTTCTGCTCTTATTGATAGCATCCTAGCTTAGTTGCAGGATTGATCTGCCATGTGCTGTGCTTCTTCAATTCACATAGCAACAGTATGATACTGCTCGGATGCATATGTAAGTCACTATAAACTGAGATAAAGCAACCCAAAATACAGACGCTATTAAGCTAAGATGTGACAAGAAGTTTTAGTTTTTCGGCTGGCTCATCACTGTAAGATGAGCCGGAGTTGTCCTAAGGTCACCCAGCCAGTTTCTGTGCCAACTGCAGGATTAGAATTTGGGTTTGCTCACTTCTCATCTAGTTCTTTAACCACTAGATAACACTGGCTTTAGCACACTTGCCTTAAAAATTCAATTAACTACTTCTTTATTTATCAAATGTCTACTGCTGTAGTCTGAACGCATTCCTGAAAAATTAATACTAAGCAAAACAGCAAACACTGTAGATTTTTTGTACCTTCCAGAAGAGCGAGGTCACAAATATAAAGACAATAATTACTGTTTATCTGAAACTTTTTCTTGCAGATTAGATCCCAACTTATCTAGAAGGAGGCTTCATGGGATGCCATGGTAAGAGAACAGAAAAACATCTTAGCTCTTCCTCCCATCATATTTTCCAAGGGTTCAAACATTTTCAAATACTAGATTGCTTTGGGGTTTTTCAGCTAAAACTCTCAAAATAATAATACAGATAATTTTGTGAGGCTCCTATGTTTAGTCTATGCTGCTGATGCAGAAAATCCTATGTGTTTACGCAGAAGTGTTGCAGGGCTAAGACTATTATCACACAAGGTCCCGTCTGTTTTTTTTACCTTAAGAGCTGTTTGCATTATCTGTCTGTTTGCAAATCCAAACAGTAATTTGTTACCTTGACTGGTAAGTTTCTATATAAACACACAAACCCACCTATATCTCTTTGAGTTATAACCTGTACTTTTTATTGTAATTTTGTTATGATTTTAAACATGTCTGTAGGTATAAAATCATAATAAAATCACAATAAAAATGCAGGTTATAACTCAAAGAGATATAGGTAGGTTTGTTTAATCATGTTAAGCGTATAGTTTTATTTGATGTTGTAAGCTGCCCAGAATCCAATTGCATTGAGATGGGTGGCAAACAAATGTAATAATAAATAAAATGTAAAAATATCTGGGCTTGTGGGCACAGCTGTTCTGTTGCTTTCTGCTAAAATAAGCTATCCTTTCAGATTGTACATACCTTTTGTTTCTCAGAATGGTTGGCCTGCTTAGCAGCCTCTGCCACCAGCTGATCATACTGTTTACGTCCTTTATATTCTCGTACCCGCTTTTCATGTACCCAAGCCCTTTCAGGCTGGTTGCTAAAGAATTGAACATGATATTCTCGTGCACCTGGAAAGAAAGATTGCGGGGGGAATGTAAAGAAAACATTTGGCTAAGAAATTCCACCACACAAATTTTTCATTCAGGGAAGTATACTCTCATACCTGCGTGAAGTACACAGGCAAACTGTAAACATTCCCCTTTTAACAAAAATAATAACAATAAAAATAGAAATGCAAAAACATTAATCACTTCAATTATGACCTTTAAAACTTCATCAGGTGTCAGTATGCAGATGTATGCTGGTGTATATATATATATGAAAAAAAAAAAGAATGCAAGGAACCCCAAGTGCTATTGTTGTAGACTGTCTATATCATAAGCCACGGTGGCGAAGTGGTTAGAGTGCAGTACTGCAGCTACTTCTGCTGACTGCCGGCTGCCTGCAATTTGGCAGATTGAATATCACCAGGCTCAAGGTTGACTCGGCCTTCCATCCTTCCCAGATGGGTCAAATGAGGACCCAAATTGTTGGGGGGGCAAGAGGCTGGCTCTGTAAACCGCTTAGAGAGGGCTGTAAAGCACTGTAAAGTGGTATATAAGTCTAGGTGCTACTGCTACCTCTTGACTTTTAATTTAATCGGAATCTTGATCTAATCTGCTCATTTTGAAGTATGAATAATAATAGAAGAGTCAGTCAACTTAGCTCTTTGGATAGTTTCTGAAATAACAGCTCAAACATTTTTCTTCACTGACCTCTCGTGTTAATTTTAGTATGAACTTCCAGTTGAGGATCTCTTGAAACCATACAGGGCCACCAAGGATACGTCCCCACTTTGGACCAGACAAGATCTCCCACCTCAAACTTGCAATCGCTCGTCTCTTGCACGGAAAGTGAAGAAGCAACCTGCTGTGCCTACATGAGAATCACACACACACACACAGAAATTACATCGTATGAAAGTGAAAGGTGTTCTTACACATAAGATATTCAGAGGCAGAACATTATGTGGCATAGGTTATTGAATGTATGGATGAATGCCTAGATGAATTAGTCCACGTTCTTGCACGTGGCATATTATATAAGAATAGATGATGTTTTGGTCTCCTGTAATCTTTTGCCAAGGCAGTTAGGATGCTTCTTGCAAGAGTCTCTTCCTAAATATTTTGGGCCAATAATTCTGATAATAAAAGTCTTTGTTTTGAGGCGTACCTGATTTAATAATGAATGAACAAATAATGAATTCTTTATTGCACAAGTGTGATTAGACACACAAGGAATTTGTCTTGCTGCAAATGCTCTCAGTGTACATAATAGAAAAACAACATTCGTCAAGAGTTAAGAATCATCAGGTGCAACACTTAATGATAGTCATAGGGTACAATAAGCAATCAAATCATACTAGGAAACAGTCAAGATAAATCGTAAGGATACAAGCAACAAAGTTACAGTCATACAGTACAATACCATCTACAATTAAAAACACAGAATACTAACCGGGGTTTCATCCAACGTTGCCATTTCTTCCCTTGGTTTTTCAGACTGGGTGCTAAGCCTTTCGTTTGGTCTCTATAAGTTAAAATAAAAAAGTTAAAAAACCAAACCAAACCACAGAATGAAATAAATGTAGGACTGAATGATTACCAGGGAAAACATTCCCAGGCACAGTAGTATGTCTTCCAGTCTATTTTGAAGCTCCATTAATACTCCGTTTCGGCGAATGTTTTGGAGATTTACAAGAAGACAGAGATGAAAGTGGTGTGGAACAAGAAAGGCTAGAGCATCAGTAAGTACGTGCAAAGGACTAGGGAGGACATGACAGCAGGATTCCAGTATTTGAGAGGTTGCCACAAAGAAGGGTGGGGGGTGTCAACTTACTTTTCAAAGCCCCTGAGGGCAGGACAAGAAACAATGGATGGAAACTAATCAAGGAGAGAAGCAACCTGGAATTAAGGAGAAACTCCCTAACAGTGAGGACAATTAACCAGTGGAACTGCTTGCCACCAGAAGTTGTGAGTGCTTCATCACTGGAGGTTTTCAAGAAGAGATTGAACAGTCACTTGTCTGAAATAGTATGGGGTCTCCTGCTTGATCAAGGGGCTGGACTAGAAGACTTTGAAGGTCCCTTCCAGCTCTATTCTAATTGAGTTCAGGTGATACCTACCTATTAATTTTTTTCTGACTATAAACAGTTTATATTTACATTTAAAGATTATATTGTAACAAAACTCTTTATATATAAATGTAAATATAAATAATATAAATATGCATACATGCACACGCACATGCATGACTTATATCCAGGTACATAATGGATTATTATTCTAGATATTAAATCTAATATGCACAGAAGCTATTTCGGAGGGGCGGGGCGATGACTTAAAGGCTATTGTTTCCCAACATAGTTTTCTAAACAAGACTCTTAATTTTATTCAGTAATATGCTAAATGGTAGTATAGCTAGTTAGCATGAAAAAGTCAGTATAGTTAGTTAGCACTAAATACTAAATCAATATTTTATCTAGCACTGTCTCTACAAATCCAGCTAAGTTTGGCCAGCCTTGACACATTTTCTGCAAGTTTAGGAAGTACAAGGAACAAAATCCAGCCTTCTTAGCGCCAAGATCCATTAGAACCAACAGGATGAGAAAGGCTGATCTTCAAGAAACTCAAACAAGGTCAGGCCTGATGAATTATTTAGTTGGAAGACCATCAAAACTCTGGGATGCCAAAAATAAAACATGATGGGAGACGGCAATGCTTCTATCTAGCTGCCGCGAAAACTGGGTGGACAGGACTATGAAATCACCTAAAGCACCGGTCCCCAATGTTTACGGCTTGGTGCCCCGGTCAGCGGGGCAGAGGGTAACTGGCCTGCTGCTCACACTAGTTGAGCTGCGCGCTGTGTGCCAGCCCGCCATTCACGCAAGTCAAGCTGCGTGTGCACCGCCACCGGCCAGCTTCTTGTGTGGCCCCGTTGTGTGGGGTTTGGGGACCCCTGATGTCAAGTCAAGAGCAACTTGAGATTTTTTTGTTTTTAAACCTTTCATTCAGAATAGAGCTTCATTGGGTTATGTGCGATATAGGTTGGTTAGAATAACTTTGGATCAACCCAAACCATTTACGTGTTAGGACAGTGGTGGCCAACCTTTTCTGGCTCCCGTGCTGATAATTGCCTCGCATGCCAAGGCAATGTGTGCTGGGCCCCTCCCATGCCCCCTATGCATGTGCACGATCCCCCGAGTGCCACGCATCTCTGCGCATGTGTGCGCGATCCCCCCTTGCGCGCCGCACATCTCTATGCATGTGCACACATCTCCCGTGCATTCCCCCGCCCCTTGCGCATGCATGCCAGATACCCGACAATCAGCTGTCAGGCGGTGGCATGCGCGTGCACAGTGGGGCTCTTCTAGGCGACCTTTCGCGTGCCGGGGGAAATGGCTCTGCGTGCTACTTCCGGCATGCGTGCCATAGGTTCGCCAACACGGTTTTAGGAGAATTGAAAGTATACCAGTCAGTGATTTCAGTACCACCACTATATCCCACTGCAACGGACATACATTCATTAATAAATGGACAACTCTGCACTTCTAATGAAAAGGGTATTATGAGGGAATCATCGTATTCCTGAAATAGTGGTTCGGTGGCCTAGAGGTGGAGCTCTCGGCTCACAATCAGGAGGCTGTGAGTTCGATCCTAGGTAGAGGCAGAACTCTCTCTCTCTCTCTCTCCCTGGGCACAATGAGACTAGATGTGCTGAAGAAAACTCTGTACTGGCAACAGGAAGGGCACCCGGCCAGTAAACACTCAGCCCCATCCAGTTGCCCAGACTCCACCTCGCAAGGGATTATGGGGTCATTAAAAAGAAGATGATCATATTTCTGAAATAATGTTTCAATTTCAGCCGCATTTAACCTGGCTATACAGGTTAGTCACTGCCATTTTCCAGAATTAATCACAAGTTACACTTTGAAGTTTTCGGAGAACTGTTACTATTATTGCAGGAGTCCCCTTTCAATCTCTCTCCTTCCTAATATGATAGGCAAGCTGATTCGTCTCTCCAACCCCTTTCTTCCCAATAAAGAAACTGAATACGTAACTCAGTGAATTACAACCTTCATCGCTGATTCTAAACATATGAGCAGAATCCAGGCAGCCAGCCAACTGTGATTGAATTAGAACAGGACCATTTTAAGGTGTTTGTTGCATTTGTAGAACAGAATGAAAGCAGAAGTAGATAAGAATTATTTAACCATAACGGCAAAGGAGGATATAAATTTCGAAACTATGAATAAGTAATTTAAGCGTACAAATCATTCCGGGGACTGCAAGGCACTTTGCCAGCTTTTAAATTTATCTCATTTATGGACAGATATTTTGTGGAAATATTCTGTCACTTTCTTTCTGAAGGGCTGTTCCACAGCAGGCCAGTTTTGTTCAAGGGGACATTAGTTTCCTTCCTTTCATTTAAGGGTGAAGTTGAGTCACCCGTATCATAAACTCATTTTGAGTGTGGGGGAAAAAAAAGGTGTGAGCACATTATCACCATCAAAGCATTAATTGTTCCAAAAATGTGCATTTCTCAACGTTTTCTTTAACATTCGCCCTATAAAATAGGTCACAATTACGATCTTTACAGAGCTACTGCCGAGGCAAAAGCAGCTATCTTGTTAAAGGTGCTCCTAGACTTACAGATATCATCTAATGACAGTCCAAAGTACTGAAAAAGTGACTTATAAAAAAGAGATTAGACATCCAGCCCTTGCTTATCAATGGAGACCGAGTGGAGCAAGTGGCCAGTTTTAAGTTTCTGGGTGTTACCCTAAAAGAGGACCTGACCTGGGGTGCCTACATTGCAGCCCTGGTCAAAAGGGCCCAGCAGAGATTAGACTACCTGAGATTTCTCAGGAAACAGCAACTGAATGAAAAACTGCTGGTGACCTTCTACCGCTGCACCATAGAGAGTATCTTAACTCACTGCACCTGTGTGTGGTTTGTCAACTACACCGTGGCAAATAGGACAGCGCTCCAGAGGGTTAACATCATTGCCCAGAGGATCACTGGTTGCCCTCTCCCCTCTTTGGAAGAGCTTTATAGCTTCCGCTGCCTTAAGAAAGTTCAAAACATCCTCAAAGATCCATCTCATCCTGGGCATCCCTTTTTTTTTTAACTATTACCATCTGGCAGACGGTACAGGATAATAAAAACAAGGGCAAATAGGCTGAAAAACAGCTTCTATCCCAAGGCAGTAACTCCATTGAATTCTTTTGTATAGTGTGATATTCATGCAATATCGGGGGTTTTCAATTCAATTGTATAGATTGAGAAGGATCTGAGCTTGTGTTTTATGTTTATAGTTATAATGTACACTGAAGATGGCATTTAATTTTGTTATACAAGGTGCAGTGACAATAAAGTGAACTAAACTAAACTTACAACAGGTCTTCACACTTAGAAATGTCACCGCATCCCCATGGTCATGTGATCAAAATTCAGGCACTCACCAACTGGCAGTACAATGGTTGCTGTGGTCTGGGTCTTAGGGTGGCTATTTGCAACCTTCTTACAAGAGAAGTGAACAGTGGCAGTTGGATTCGTGTAACGACTGACTGATTCATTTAACTGCAGAGACTTACTTAACAACTATTACAGAAAGGTCATAAAATCGGACACAACTCACTTAACAATCACCTCACTTAGCAACAGGGATGGTAGCCCTAATTGTGGTCACAACTCCAGGACTACCTGTATTGTCGCTTGAGCTGATATACGATCTAGGAATTTCGTGCCAATAATTCCTTTTTTAAAAAATATTTTAAATGTTTTAAGTAAGGAACCTATAGAGTATCAAAAAAGGCATTTTACTGATCTTTTGTTTAGTTGTAATGATGGATGAAGAGATATCTTCTTCACAAGTTGCCTCAACTTTGCTACGTGAGTTTTGTTTCTCTAGTCTACACTATCTGGTTTTCACAGAGGCTTTAAAAGTGAGCATCTATGAAGGGAAGAAATTTTACAACTCAATTTCTTTGCTAGAAACAAAACCCTGGTAAGTTACATCTCCATTTTGTTTGTGAAAATCTAAAGGCCAAACCTCTTTCCTGGTTATGTCAGTTCATTAAAAGGTTGCCTTATAAGTCAGTTACAACACTGGTTTGCAAGAGGCTTAGTTGAAATATAGCAAGATAGTGGAGAATAGTGACATATTGCCATTGCCCTGTTTTGTTCCAAGAGTGATTTTTACGGACAAATCTCTATTTTAATATAACTATTTTGATACAGTTTAAGCATCAGGTATCGCCTGAATTTTAGTTCAAGCATATATTTGATTTTGAAACTGATCGACTCCTAGATGGTTCTGGCCACCTTACATCTCAAAATCAAGAATTTGGTGCATTAATAGGTTTCAAGATTATCAAACAGAAGACAAAGATGCATATACTTAACATCTGACATGCGACAAAGCAAATAAATACTGAAAAAGGATTCACATCTTAATACAGAAGATTCTCAAAGTGAATATGAAGGTAAGGATGTCCACTTAACATCTATCAGTTTTCTTTCAACATTAACGTTCAAATGAAATTACTTTTGGAACGGGGTGAAAATTTAATTTGGGAGATGGCATGGGGCTGTTCAGTCATACAACATTACTTGTAGGAGTTCCGGTTTGAAGTCTCTTCGGCGACAGACAGAAATCTGCGATTGTGCGCGGTTTCGGTCTGGGCTTGCCGCTGGAGCGCCCCGAGCCGGCTGGTTTCGGGGCTAAGCCACCCCGTAGAGGTGGTGAAGAGGGGGGAGACTGCCAGCAGAGTTGAGGGGAGCTGCATCTCTCCTCCTCTGCTGGCCATTACTCCCTTTCCCGAAGGCAGTTGCAGCGGTGGTCAGAAATGGCCACCACAAAGAAGAACTAGAACGGAAAAGAATGTGCAGGAGGAAGATAAGTAGTGAAAGTTTTGGCTGACTGGGTTAAATTGTAAAAGCAACAACTAAGGTACCCTGGAATTTAAATTTACAAAAAATAACATTGCTCCCAAAGAAGAGTCGGAAGCAGTGAAGGAAAGTGAAAAGGGAAAGGTTTGGCTTTTTTTTCTTCTCTCTCCTTCCCTATACTGACAACTAAGAGACTTAACTAAGAAATCGGAAAAATCCGCTTTGACATCAATAGGCAATTAAGCTGAAAATAAAACAAAATGCCAAAGGGATAATAAAGATTTCTGGACACTAATTTTTTTTTTCATAAGCAGGAAGGGAGAGAAAAAGAATAAGGGCAGGATCTGGAAGAGAGAGGAGACTGCCTGGAATTAAAAAGAATCTACAGTAAAACTTCAACAAGACTTCTAAAAGATACATTTTAACTGAAAATTTGTAACTAAACAGTAACCCCAAGAAGAGAAAGTGAAAAAAAAGAGCAAAAAGAAACAGCTTGCATGTATTTGGATTATTTGGTGATCTTTGGATTCTTGATTATTACATTTGAATGACTAAAATTAATCGGGTGATTGTTTAAAAATTTATATAATGGCACCATTCTGGATGAATTAAAAATGCAACTTAAAAAGTAGAAAGAAGATGCACAAGAAGGGAAGGGTTCTTTTGGCTTTGTTTTTCAATTCTTAGAAATGGAGATTTGGAACTATGAGAAACAACAAGAAACATCTGCAAAACAAGAAGACTGGGACAAAGAAGAAGCCATCTTTAATGAACAAGTAATTTTATGTGGGGAAGAAAAAGGAAAGGGGGGAAAGAGAATGGAGAATTTAAGATTTAAAAAAACAACCAAAGAAAAGAAAAATAATTCGAAAAATAAGTATAATACTGGAAAGCAATAGAAAAGGGGAATACAGAAGAGAGAAATAGAGGTAGAGAAACAAGGGGGTAAAAAGGGGAGAGAGAAGAAGAGAGGGAAGAAGGAAAGGAAGAGAAGTTACAAAGGACCGGAGCAAGATATAGAGAAACAGGACCTATTTAGAGATAATGGGTGAAAATCTAATTGAAAAAGGGATTCTGTAAAGGTACATAAGATTGTATGGTTATATTATAATAGAAATAACTTTAGAAAATTGGAAACAATGTATGATTAAAATGAGGGATAAAATAGTTAGTGTAATTTAGTGAAATGTTTGTTAATAAAATAAGTGAAATAAAATAAATGAGAAAATTGAATTAGGAAGGAACAGGAACATTTTAATTAGTTAATGTTTTTTCAAATATAAGTGAAGGGGGGAATTATTTATGGAAATTATAATTGTTCCCATAGAAGTATGATATTTAATTGAAAAGTAATGTTAAAGAAATTAAGACTTTAATGAATATTAATGATAGAATTGAATTGGAATGGAATGTATTGTTTTAATTACATACAGTTATAATTTTTTCTTTTTTTAAGAATATAGTGTGTATTTTAAGAATGTACCAAGCAGAATCCGAGTGGAAGTTATGTATTATATTGAACGTTATAACTTTAGGGTGTATATTGAAGCCTAAATAAGAGTTAAATGGATAAACTTAAAAGATATAAAGGCGTCATACTCCAATCAGTAACTACAGGAGAAATTTTGTTTAATGAGAAAAGATAATAGATAATTGAAACAGGACAGAAAACAAATATAAATACAATGATTTGAATTGAGATGAGATAATTAAAATAAAATTGAGAAAATTAAAAGAGGGGAGGAAGCTATGCAGAAAATGTAAAATAGTAATAAGATATGGAATAGAATATAAAAATGAGCATGAACCTGAATTTGTGTCTGTACAAAGAAATGTAACCCGGGATTACGCTACTTTCAAAAAAGATGTTTTATTTGTATTTTTTTCCTCTTTGTGAAAACTCAAATAAAATTTACAAAAAACAACATTACTTGTAAAGGCTATTTTTTAATAACCTGCTTAACTCCATTAAAAAAATGTAGGGTGGCCACCAACATTATGCCACATTTCTTCACAGATTAACAGCACCTTCTAAGACCTTTTACAGTGTATTCTATCATGGCACGAGGCAATCTTTCAGCTTGTCTACTGAAACCTGGATCAATGAAGAACACTATTTTTTTTGCAGAAACAAAGCAAATGCTTGTGCATCATTGTTTCATGAGTATGTCTGTTAATGTTGAACTATTGATTGAAAGGGTCATCTCACAACTTTGTATACCAAAAGCAAAGGTCTAAAGGCAGATCCATGAGACCAATTCCACAAAACAAGTAGTTTAGTCAATGGAATCGTAACAAATGAAATGATGCCAAAATGATCTGCGTGTACACGCGACGACATAATCAGACAAACCAATATGGTCTGGTGGTTAAGTTGCTGGTTTAGAAACCAGGAAACTGGGAGTTTTAGTCCTGCTAAAATGAAACTTCAAAATTACTCTTTTATCTAAAATAGTATTTTAACACCTTCGGGCAGATGATTTGATTAGCAAATTATTGCACGAAAATCAGAAATTATCACATGAAGCTAAATAAAGTGTAGCCTGTTTTATATGAATTGTTCTCGGCGTTAAAAGAGATTTCTGCACAAAGTTACCTTATCCACATAGAGAGGGGCTCATAATTTAATATAAAAATAAAAAAGAGGGCAAAAAAGACAGAAAATGCAAAAAGACCAGGAATTGTTGTTAACAGAAAATGTACCACATATGATTTTCACTTTCTCTCCCTAATTATACCCCAAAATGAAATACCTTACAACTTTAATAGCTGTCGTGTCACTCAGCTGTAATAACATTACTGAGATAATATTCACTCATCAATAGTATTATACAATTTGACTCTAGGAGAATCTAAAGTTCTTTATAAATTATTCTGACAATTTGCATAGTTTGTGGCAAAGGATGGTTTGGATTTCTTTTCTTCAGCAGAAAAAAAAATCTACCAAGATAAATTTTATTTTTTTAATAAAATGCATTTATAAAAACAATCAGTCCAGCACAGAACACTACCAAATGGGCAGAGGTAAGGCTTTTTGGCTGTGTGTGTGCAGAGCAGCACCAAAGACCTCCTGCCGCCTTCTCTGGGGGCGCAAATGGCGCTTCCCCTAGACAGCAACCCTCTGAATGAAGGCTAAAGGCAAAGGAAAGGAAAAATAAACGAACTGCAATCAAACCTGCTGAAAAACGACTAAGAATCCTGCTTCGGCCAATGAAACTTCGAAAGCACTGCCTGTCTCACACGAGGCAGAGGCTGAAGCACCTGCACTACTGGATGCTCTGAACAGCTCATAGGAGAAAAGAAATGCTTTTGTCAGGCCGCATATTATTTCTATTGGGACGCTGGCATTGTGGTGGGAGGGGGGGAGGATTGGAGAAATCTCTATATTAATTTTCGGTTTTGTTTCCTGCATTGCTATGCTTTGAGTTTCTGTTTCTGGCATTGCTGTACTGAGGGGAGGGGTTGGGTTGGAATGCTTTTAGATGGCTGTTTTTAAGTGAGAAAATTCAGTTCCTGCCTAGACCTCTTGCTATGACAAGCCTTTCAATAAAAGCTCCTTTTGGAACAACTCCAGTTTCAAGAGTCCTGCTTTCTTGGGAAGGCTGGAGAGGTGAGGCCTTACAGCAGGGGTCTCCAAACTTGACAGCTTTAAGACTTGTGGACTTCAACTCCCAGAATTTCTCCTCCAGTCATGTTAGCTCAGGGATTCTGGGAGTTGAAGTCCACAAGTCTTAAAACTGACCAAGTTTGAAGATGTGCTAGACCCATGATAGCAAACCCATGGCAATGTATGCCACAGGTGGCATGCAGAGCCATTTGTGCCGGCACACGAGCTGCAGGCAAACTCACCTCACTGCACAGGTGCGTGCCTCACAGCTGATTTTCAGCTGGTTTGAGGCCTTTTTCAGCCTCCCAAAGGCTTAAGGAAGACTTCTGCAGGCCGAAAACTACGCCCGTTTCATCACTTCCTGTTTTTCCGAAAATACCGGAAGTGATGAAACAGGGCTAGTTTTTGGCCTGCAAAGCCTGCAGAAGCCTTCCTCAAGCCTCTGGGAGGCCAAAAAAGGCCTCAAACCGTCCAAAACTCAGCTGTGAGGCGCAGGTAAGCGGGCAGCGGGGGTGGGATTGCGTGCACATGTGTAAGGGGCGTGGGAGGGCACGCATTGCCTTCTGGGTGCTGGCATGCAAGTGCGAGCGTGAAAGTGCGCACGCAATTTTTGGCACAGGAGCCAAAAAAGGTTAAGCCAACACTGTCCTAGACCAAGGATCTCCCACCTTAGCAATTTTAAGACTTGTGGACTTCAACTCCCAGAATTCCTCCTCCAGTCATGTTAGCTCAGGAATTCTTGCCAAGTTTGAAGACCCTTGCCTTACAGCAACAACAGGAGGAAGGAAGGAAGGAAGGAAGGAAGGAAGGAAGGAAGGAAGGAAGGAAGGAAGGAAGGAAAAAAACTTATTTTATTTTATTATTACTCCAACTTACATTTTGCTCCTCCGGCTCGAGTTTGGGAATTTTACGTGACTTGCGCTCTTCCGAATGGGCAGCATCATGCTTGCTACTTTTTTTCCGTTTCTCCTTCCTCCCTTCATGTTTGGACTTGGCAAACTCGCTCGCTTGCACTTCGTTTAGAAGATCCCCACACAGCGAGGACTCAAACAATTCCCTGCCGTTCTGGATAGTTTTGGTTATTTTCAGTTTAATCTCGGGTGAGCCCGTCTTCTTTGGAATCACCGTTTGGGAGACGGAGGGAGGGGGAGGCTGAGGCGGGGAGGGTTTTTCCAGGAGGTCATGTGGCCTTAGGTTAGAGTTCTCCATGTGGTAATACTCCGGTGGGCTAAAGTTTCTAACGGTGCCAAAGCCGTTGGCTGAGCCATTCGGATACTGGCTGAAGGACTGGAATTTGGCCTGGGGCTCGTACATGCCGATTTGGGGGAATCCATTAATGAGGGGCGGAAGGTCTTCGGCGGTTGGCGTGGGGTACTGAAAACCTTGCTGCAAGGCAAGGGCAGCTTCATAGGGAGTCTGTCGGCCATCTTCCGTGATGTCACTGTGGGCATCGAAAGCATCCTCTTGGCGGTTGTTCGCCGAATCAATGAGTTGAGGTGGTTGCTGAATTGTGTTTCCCATGATCCCTTGCATGAAAGAGAAGGAGAAATCCATTGTTCTGCTCCAGCATCCTTAGCTTTCCCTTTTTCTCATAGGGCCTTAAAATGAGAGAAAGAAAGAAAGAAAGAAAAAAAGATGTGATTCTATGGCTTCTCTAGCAAAAACTTCAAAAAATCAAGAAAGGTAATCGCTACAATTTAACAGGAATTTCCCCCTTTCTGCTAACTTTTAGTTTACTTTATTGACATTGCACCTCGTACAATGAAATTAAACACCATCTTCAGTGTACATCATGACCATGACCATGAAAATAAATACAAACACACATCCTTCACCCTCCTCCACATATTGAACTGGAAACCCCGGACACCACACCCAACACTGCATTACACAGCAGAATTCAAAAGAGCTACTGCCCTGGGATAGAAGCTGTTTTTCAGCCTATTTGCCCTTGTTTTTATTATCCTGTACCGTCTGCCAGATGGTAATAGTTCAAAAATAAGGGATGCCCAGGATGAGATGGATCTTTGAGAAAGTTTTGAACTTTCTTAAGGCAGCGGGAGCTATAAAGCTCTTCCAAAGAGGGGAGAGGCAACCAGTGATCCTCTGGGCAATGATGTTAACCCTCTGGAGCGCTGTCCTATCTGCCACGGTGTAGTTGGCAAACCACGCACAGGTGCAGTAAGTTAAGATATTCTCTATGGTGGAGCGGTAGAAGGTCACCAGCAGTTTTTCATTCAGTTGTTGTTTCCTGAGAAGCCTCAGGTAGTCTAATCTCTGCTGGGCCCTTTTGACCAGGGCTGCAATGTGGGCACCCCAGGTCAGGTCCTCTTTTAGGGTAACACCCAGAAACTTAAAACTGGCCATTTGCTCCACTCGGTCTCCATTGATAACTGTCAGGATTCCAGCAATCACCCTAATTAAATCATGAGTCTCGAACCAAACTTCAAAAAACTTCGAAGGATTCATTAGAGGCGACATACTGGCACTGCCCTGTATGCAGCCAACTCTGGCACATGTAATTTACAATCACCTGTGACCCTGTCCGTCATCCCCCCCACACCCCCGTGTGTCTCATAAACCAGATTCTCCAATAGAGCACCTTCACGGGCTGGGTGTCATCATTCATGTTCTCCAATTAAATATATTTGGGGCAAAAACTCTGGTATTTCAGTTACAACCTTTTAAAGATAAGAGTTGAAATGTACTTTCACTTTCAATTGCTCTTCCAGATTTCCTTCCTCCTCTCCCCCCTCCTTTTTATGGCAACTACTAAAACAGGCATAGGGATATTTTATGAGTTGACACTAACAAGGTTTCAAAGGCTAGTAAGTTTACTACAGCATAAACCAGTGGTAGTCAGCCTGGTCCGTACAGCCCACTAGTTCCAGCTTTCATGGTGGGCGGTAGGGATTTTGTCCCCTACTTTATAAATCACCATTACTGTGGAACCGGTGGGCGGTTAGAGGAAATTTTACTACTAATAGAGGTACAAAAGTGGGCGGCAGGTATAAAAAGGTTGACTACCCCTGGCATAGACTGTAGGGTGTAGAGCAAACGTTTTTATTTGGTACACAAAAGACTTTCCTTCATTATTGTAAGGCACAAAAGATCAGGTCCGTGTGAAGTTCGAATTAATCTGATTTATTGCTAACCATGCCTATGCACTGGCATCTTCTCAACTAATGATTAACACCTGCTTGGAGTTAGATGAGAGTTAGCGGAACTCAAGGGTGGCTGGATTTGCTTGCGGCTATGTAAGGACTCTAAGGCTGATGTCTTTTTTAACTCCACCCCCGGGATTCGGCCAGTCTTTCTCCTGCATCAGGTGAGTCGGCGGTCTCTGCGAAGAATGCAAACCTGGAGCACAAACTACACTTGGACACTTCTGAAAGTTGAACAGTACACTGTCCAATGCCACTTGTTTGTGAGATGGGCCGTTATATAAATTTGACCTATAAATGAAACCAGAGCATTTCTATATGCCCTCCCCACCAGCAATTTCTCTCTCTCTGTCTCGCTCTTTCCTTTCCTTCTTCCTTTTTCTTTCTTTCTTTTCTGTCTTTTCTTTTTTCCATCCTCCTTCCCTTTCTCTTTCTTTCTCTCTTCCTTCCTTTTCTTCCTTCCACATACATACATACATACATACATACATACATACATATGCCCCTCAGGGAGGGCTCTGGGCTTTTTCTCCTTTCGTTTTTGCATATATATATATATATACACCTGAAGGACTAGTCTGTTGGTCTTTAAAGATGCCGGAGGCTGCTGTTTGTTGCAACAGATTTACCATCACTCTATTTACACAGTACACTCCAAACTTAATCTCTGGGGCAAAACTCAGTTAACGAATGTCTCGCTTAGCAACAGAAACTTTGGACTCAACTGTGGTCATAAGTTGAGGATTACCTGTATGTAATAAACTTTTTTTCCCCCTACCTACAATGGATCTTTCTTTTCTAAATGGGGACAGGATGATTCCAATAGGCTGGAATTGTCTACGTGGCCAATTCTTGATTTTGGAAAACTGAAACTTACCAAGGAGAGTTTAATGGCCTCACCTTAGAGCCGCGAACCTGTGGCACGCAAGCTGCAGGCAAACTTACCTCACTGCGCATGTGCGTGCCTCACAGGTGATCTTCACCTGGTTTGAGGCCGTTTTCGGCCTCCCAAAGGCTTGAGGAAGACTTCTGCAGGTTTTTGCAAGCTTCGCAGGCCGAAAACTAGCCCTGTTTTGTCACTACCGGCATTTTTGGAAAAACAGGAAGTGATGAAATGGGGCTATAGTTTTCAGCCTGCAAAGCTTGCAGAAGCCCACAGAAGCTTTCCTCAAGCCTTTGGGAGGCCGAAAAAGGCCTCAAACTGGTTGAAAATCAGCTGTTAGGCGCAGTGCAGGTAAGGGAGCGGCAGGGGGTGGGTGGATGGGTGATTGCGTGCACATGTGTAGGGGGCGTGGGGGGGCGCGGATTGCCTTCTGGGTGCTGGCGCACAAGCACGAGTGTGCAAGCGCGCGCACAATTTTTGGCACAGGAGCCCAAAAAGGTTAGCCACCACTGCCTTAGAGTAAGTTTTACATTTCAGTAGCCATAAAACATCCTAATTCAAAAGTTATATTCTCAATAATGAGGAAAGCCTAAGGTTGACTGGATGCTGCATGCAAATTTAAACTTCATTTTTTCCCCCTGGTAAAAATCCCCTCAACAGCTGGTACTCAAACCTGGTATTTAAACATTCTTCTGGGAATATGTAAAGAAATAAAAAAAAGCCGTTTTATTATAGTTTCCAAACCAAAATATTTTCCTTATTAACCACATGGTGGTGTATTTGGCTCTCTTCATTTTCAATTATCAGCCCAATGCAGGGGTTTGTCTTTCTGAAAAAAATATATATATTGTGACAGCTCTTTAATCCTATAGAATGTTTTAAATACATGAATCTTCAAGAACAAATTATCTGTCCCCACTGCATATTAAATATAGAATGGAATCAAGATAATAATGTACTTAAAAATGTGTTGTTTTGAACTCATAATTGCCGCTGATGGGACTGCTCAACATGCAGTTCAGTGGCCTTACGACCCATTTGGGCTTCTGACTGACATTTTATCTTGCCTTTTTCTTTTTCAAGAGCTCAGAGCAGCAACTCAATTTTTCCCCAACCAATAACTCTCGTCATAGGTTAGCCTAGGGGTGTCAAACTCAAGGCCCGGGGGCCAGATCCAGCCCGCAGGGTGCTTAGATCTGGCCGGGGGGGGGGGGGGGGGGAAGGCTGCCCTGGAAATAGCAAAGGACTGGCCAGCCATGCTTCTGTCAGCAAAACAGGCTCCCAAGCTCTGTTTTCAAGTGCCACAGCCTCCTGCAACCCTCTGCCAGTGAAAACAGAGCTGTGAAACACAGAGCTGTTTTCACTGGCAGAGGGATTCAGGAGGCTGTGGCAGCTGAAAACGGAGCTAGGGAGCCTGTTTTTGCTGGCAGAGTGCTCGGCCCACCTCAGGTGCCCCCAACACAGGTGATGTTGAGTTGGCCACCCTGGCCACTCCCACCTCGGCTTCCCCGAGATCAAACACAACCTTGACGCGTCCCTCAATGGAATCGAGTTTGACACCCCGGGGTTAGCCTGTGGGATTGTAACTAATCCATTCGAAAGAGATTGGACCTTGTGGCCAGCTTCCCAACCAGTTAATGAATCTTGAAAAACCTGAAGTTTGGTCACAGCAAAGATAATAATGGAGGACCAGGATGTAGAAAACACGGCAGGTTCAAAGCAGGAAGATTTCAAGTGCTCCAAAAGGGAACACCCAGCTGCCAAAAAGAGCATTTTGCAATCAGAATAACCGATGTCAGGGTTAGCGTTTGTTAAGAATAAAAGAAGTGAAAAATGTTTCTCTTCATCTTCCAATCTGTTCTATACTAAGGAAGGGTGGGTGAGAAGCCGCAGCCATCAACCACTTACTTTCCCTCTACAAAAACAGAACACAAAAGCAGAAACAACCGAGTTGGCCGTTATGGGCCTGATATTCCTGTTCATTAAATGAAGAAAAGAGGAAGAAGAAATGTTATGATTGAAAGAAAACATTAAAGTCTTGGATAGGCTTGAACCGAGCCAGTATTCGGAGAGACAGAATAGACTTTCTGAGATATTTTAATTGCAAAATATACTTTAGAAATGCAGCCACAATCCCATCATGCCTTACAACACTTGAAGAATACAAATGAGGTTATTCAGAGGCGACGCTGTTAAACCTTCTTTCTAATGAGGCCATTTCTTTCTAACACTTATTATTATTAGTTGAGCCAAAAGGAAAGGGCTCAGCCTTACTGGAATGTAACAGGGCCCACCAGTTCAAGAATTAATTATGCAAAACATGAATAAACAGCTTAGTTTAAGCAATTAGTCACCGACTGTAGCTGTGTGACATGCTAATTTACATTGTGGTTTGACTTCATCTAACATGTGAAGATAAAACAGAGTCAACTTACTAGTTTGGGTGCAAGAATACCAACTGCAGCCTGACCTGTTCTTGAATAAGCAACACGAAAAATGGTTTTGTATGTTTCTGAGCTCAGTCTGTTAGCTGTTAACATTTCAAAGTAAT